TTTTCGCTGTGCTTCGAGAACTCGACGAGAGCAATCGATCCGTCCAAAAATCAGCCGAATCGACTTCGATTTGATTGAGATAGAGAATTCTCAAGTTTGGTCAGGACCGCCCAAACCAGTGGTTGGTTTCCACACAGGTCCGCGCTCTGCGGCGTGCTTCAAACATTGGCCCAGCGCACGGTGGCGCCGTCGCGCGCCGCGTTGATCTACGCGACGGACCCGCTCTGGGCCGCGGGCTTCGCGTTCGCCGGGCTCGGGGAGACGCTCGGCCCGCGGGGCGCCGCGGGCGCGGCGCTCATCGCGGCCGCGGCCTTCGGCCAGCGCCTCGCGCCGCCCAAAGGGGGCGCCTCCTAACGAGCGGTTTACGTGCGCGCCCGCTTCCGCTGCCGCGCGGCCTCGGCGGCGAGCGCGCGCCGCGACTCGCGCGCCTCGTCGGACCGGTCCGCGTCCGTCTCCGGCGCGACGACGTCGAGGAAGCGGAGCAGCTGGAGGTACTCGTCGACGGCGACCCTGAGCAGGTCGTCGGCGGCGACGTTGCGCGCCACGATCTCGCGCGCGTCCCGCTCGCGGATCGCGTACCCTAAAGCGACGTCCGCGGCGTCGAAGGCGAAGAGGCTCGCGTCGACGGCCTTGGCCCAGAGCTTGGCCGTCTCCCCGTCGAGCTTGGCGCCCACGGCCTCGGCGGCGGCGCCGACGACGGGCCGCACGCGCAGCAGCGACGTGCCCACGTTCACGAGGTCGCCGTCGCGGCGCCACGCCGTCACGACGGCGCGCTCGCGGCGCAGCGCGCGCGCGGCCTCGCGCGGTTTCGCGAAGGTCGGCTGCTCGGCCCAGCGGATGCCCGCGGCGCGCGCGTCCTCCCGCGTCACGTCGGTGCTCCGCTCCTTGTACACGCCGATGCATTCCTCGCTGAGGTCGCTGGGCAGGCACGCGCCGGCCGCGGCGTCGCGGCCCAGGAGCCAGCAGCCCGCCGGCAGGAGCGCGCCGACGGCGCGGCGCGTCGCGCACCGCGGCGCCGGCGACAACCCGTAGCCCTCGCAGAGCGCGGCGAGGGCGACGAGCACTGCAGCTTGGTGGCGCATCATCACGCGCGTGATCTCTTAAGCTCGGTCTAGATGCCCAGCCCGAGGAGATGATGAAGTCAAAGCTGAAGTGAGTGGGCTCCTCGATGGGGACGCAGCCTCCCTGAAAGAGCAGGGGCCGGCAGCCTCCCTAAAGACCGGGAGCCCCCGCGACGGGCGCGCCCGCGAGGCATGTCCACGTTCCGCGACGCGCGCGTGCTGGCCGTCGCGCGCGCGGCGGCGTCCCGGCGCCTGGGCGCGGACCTGCCCGCCGACGCGCGCGCGCGGCTCGTCGAGGAGATGGCCGCGGCCGCCGTCATCGCCGCGCGGCGCGAGTGCGCGCCGCCGCCGCCGTGCGCGCCGCCGGCCTACGCGTCGCACGCGCTCCGCGCGCGCTGCGCGGCGCTCCTGCCGGAGTCCGTCGTCGCGCGCGTCCGCGGCGGCCGCGCGGCCGTCGTCGACGGCTTCGCGCCGGCGGCGGCCGTGGCGGCGGCCCGCGCGGCCGTCGAGTCGCTCCCGCTCGCCAAGACGCTCCAGGCCGCCGTCGGCGCGCGCGACGACGCGGTCGCCTGGGTCGACGAGGCCTCGGCGCCGCCGGCGCTCGCGGCGTGCGTCGCGGCGCTGCGGGCCGCGGGCGCGCGCCTCGACGGGGCGCACCCGGGCTGGCTCGCCGCGCCGCAACGCGCCATGGTCGCCGTCTACGAGCCCGGCGGGCGCTACGCGCGGCACCGCGACCGCGGGCCGCGCAACGGCCGCGCGGTGACGGCGATCCTCTACCTGAACCCCGGCGACTGGACCGAGGGCGACGGCGGCTGCCTCGTCGTCGACGAGACGAGCCGGAACGCCGCGCCGCCCGCGGCGCGCGCGGCGCGCGCCGTGGCCGTCGCGCCGCTCGGCGGCCGCCTCGTGCTCTTCCCGTCGGACCTCGAGCACGAGGTGCGGCCGGCGGCGCGGCGGCGCGCGGCCCTGACGCTGTGGTTCACGGACGGGGGCGCCTAAGCCACCCCCCGGCGGCGGTTTCGGGGATCTTCGCATTCCGGCGCCTATGGCTGCCCCGCGATCGGCCCCGTGAACCCGCGCCACCCATGGGCGACGCGCCTGGGAGCGCCCACGCGCCGCGCCGCGGCACGAACGCGTCGCCGCGCCGGCGGCGCAAGCGCCGCGCGGCGCAGCAGATGGACTGGAGCGAGTTGCAGGGGTTGACCTTCGAGGAGATCGACGCCCTCGAGCACAGCGCCCTCCAGCAGCAGCGCCGGGCGACCATGTTCGGCGGCCGGCGCGCCCGGGGCGGCAAGGCGAAGCGCCGGGGCCTGAGCCCCGCGGCGATGTCGCCCGCCGACCGGTGCTCGCTCCGCTGCTGGAGCTGCTGGCGGTGTCGGTCGGCGAACACAGACGGCGCGGCCCCCGGCGACTGCGGCGCCTGCGCGCGCCTCGCCGACGAGCTCGAGGGCGGCGACGGCGCGCGCGCGTCGGCCGCGTCGACGGTCTACGAGGACGCGGCGGACGCCGGCGACTCCGACGGCTCCGACGACGACGACGATATGCGCAGCGCCCGGTCGTCGTCGCGGGACATGACGCACCTGGAGAAGCAGGCTTCGTTCCGCTGCGCGCGGCCCGGCGGCGCCCGCGAGTGGTGGGAGTGGTGGACGAGCGACCACGTCGTTGCGCGCGGCGCCGCGCACGCGCGGGGCGCGCGCGACATCGCGTCGGCCGATGCTCGGACGAGCGATCGACGCGCGGCGCGCGCTCGACGCGCGCTCGACGCCTCCCATGGGACGCGCAGGTCGACGACATATTGAAGAACACGGTGACGACCGTCGCGAGCGCCATCGCCAGCGTCAAGGAGACGGTGCGCCGCACGGCCAAGGATACCGGCGAGCAGTGGATCTCGAAGCTGCTCGACAACTTCGGGAACCAGCAGAAGGCGAACTTCTGCGGCGACCCGGCGATGCCCGAGTGGGTCCGGTGGCGCGCGGCGCTCCTCTGGGACGAGATCTGGCCCGACTGCAAGCTCGAGGTCAGCGACAGTGTGTCCGCACGATCGAGCACCGCGGTCCCGCATGTAGTCATGTAGGTGATGCACCTCCTGTCGAACGTCGAGTCGCGCGTGGGCCTCATCGCCGTGCGCCGCGGGAGCGTCGTCGCGCGCGACGTCGACCGCGACGCGCTCGCGCGGCCGCGGTCGCCCTGGAAGCGGCTCCGGGCCTTCGTCCTCTACCGCGTCGCGCCCTACGACAAGTCGCGCGCCGGCGTCCCGCGGCCGCGGCGCCGTCCGATTGGCCGGGCGCGCGGCGGACGGACCCGTCGCGGCGTAGGTCGTTCTGGGACAAGGCGCGCGACCCCTGGTACCTCGTCTTCCTGGGCCTCAAGGCGCTGCCCATCACGCAGCCCTGGGCCTTCGGCATGCTCCTCATCATGTACGACAAGCGCGACGACTACCAGCTCATCAACTTCATCGAGGAGGCTAAGGGGCTCCAGTTCCTGACGTCGGGCTGCCTCACGCTCCTGTTCTACGCGCTGCGCCTGTCCCGACGTCAGGGCAGCACAAGAGAGCGAAATTCCCAACTTCAAAGGCTCCGATCTCGGCCATTTTCCACTCGTTTCGGCTGATTTTTGGACGAGCGATCATCTCTCGGAACGGTCTCGAAGCGTGGATGCTTTTTCCGTAACGCGCGCGCGCGGAACACTCACGTTGAAGCGACGTTGAATCACTCTTGTGCTGCCCAGGTCGTACTGCACGGCGATCGCGTCGCCCGACGACGCGAGCGACTGCCACGGCATCTACAGCGGGTCGCTCAACGCCGTCGTCGGCGCCGTCGGCGTCCAGGCGGTCTTCGTCATGGATTTGGCGTCCTACGTCGTCACCGTCGCCGCGAACATCTTCCTGCCGTGGATCGCGATCCACCTGCTCCACCACTCCGTGCCCAAGGGCGTCGAGCAGCGCCGCGGCGACGACCTCGTGGGCCAGGTCGTCACGTGGAAGCAGCGGTCCGAGGGCGGCGCCGAGGGCCAGATCTACAAGGACCTGAACATCGGCTGGGAGACGAAGACGGGGAAGGTCGTCGAGTACCTCGACAGCGACGAGCACGTCGTCGAGCTCGGCGGCGGCGGCGGCGGCGGCGAGCGGCGCGTCGTGCCGCTGCACCGCCTCCCCTACATCATGCGGCGCGAGTTCGGCAAGAACCACGTGCACAAGCTCCTCGTCTGGGACGTCTGCGCCTGCGTCGCGTCGTTCCTGCTCGTCTTCCTCGCCTTCGCGCTCACGGAGAAGCTCCGGGCCGACGTCCGGCCGTGGATGATCATGGGCGGCATCTGCTGGTTCCGCATCATCTACTCCTGCACGACGTTCCCCTTCCTCGTCTTCCGGCTGCCCGTGCTGAACCTCGTGCTGAGCCACGCGCGGCCGACGGGCTACACGAAGAGCGGCAAGTGCGTGCCGAAGATGAAGATCTGGCCCTGGTACGACGAGTTCAAGCCGCCGGCGAAGCGCGCGTCGTGCCTCCAGAACCCGGAGCTCATCCCCCGGGCCGTGGCGGAGGCCGCGGCGGACGCGCTCGCCCAGGGCGACGGCCCGGCGCGGCCCAAGAAGGTGAGCTTCGGCGACGACTAGGCGCGCGCTAAGCGCGCGCCGGGCCTCCTCTGTCGCGTTGATCCTCGCACGCCGTCGCGACTTCTGCCGCGCGCGACGGTCCGTGAAGCCAGCGTTGCATCGCTTGTTGCATCGCTCGCACGATGGCGGACCATGTCGCCGGGGCTGCCGCGTCGATGCTGCGCGAGATGGACGGCGGCGGCCCGTCGCTCCTCGACGGCGCGCTCGACGAGGCGGCGGAGCGCGCGTCCTTCCGGGAGGCCGTCGAGTCCTGGCGCGCCGCCGGCGGCGCGCCGCCGCCGCCGCCGCCGCCGCCGCCGCCGAGCGGCGGCGCGCCCCGCGTCGAGGCCATGGCGGCGCAGCGGTCGCGCGAGGGCTACTTCGGCGACGCGTCGGCGTCGACGCCGTCGAACAAGGGCGGCGCGCCGCGCATCGTGCTCGGCGACGCCTACGGGCGGCCGCGCCGCGGCGAAACGTCGCTGGGCCGGCTGGGCCTCGACGAGGCGGCCGTGGAGCGCGGGCTCCGGGGCTGCGCGGGCCGCTACGCCGACCGCGTCGTGATCGTCACCGGCGCCGCGCGGGGCATCGGCGAGGGCTGCGCGCGCGTCTTCTTCGAGGCCGGCGCGGCCGTCGTTTTAGTCGACCGCGACGAGAAGGGCGGCGCGGCGCTCGCCGCGGAGCTCAACGGCCAGGACTGGAGCCTCGACGAGGCCTCGGGCCGCGCCAAGTTCGTCAAAGCCGACGTCTCCGTCGCCGCGGAGCTCCAAGCCGCCGTCGCCGCGACCGTCGCGACCTTCGGCCGCGTCGACTGCGTCGTCAACAACGCCGGGTGGCACCCGCCGCACAAGCCCATCGACGACTTCTCCGTCGACGACGTCCAGGACCTGCTCCAGCTCAACTTCGTGTCGGCCTTCGCGCTCTGCAAGTTCGCGCTGCCGCACCTCCGGGCGTCGAAGGGCTGCATCGTCAACATGTCGTCGCTCGTGGGCCACTTCGGCCAGGCCAAGGCCTGCACCTACGCCGCGACCAAGGGCGCGCTCACGGCCTTCACGAAGGCCCTCGCCATCGACGAGGCGCCCAACGGCGTCCGCGTCAACTCCGTGTCGCCGGGCAACATCTGGACGCCGCTCTGGAAGGCGGGCGCCGACGCGGACGCGGACCCCGCGGCCGCGCGCGCCGCCGGCGACCGCGCCCAGGTCATGGGCCGCATGGGCACGATCCTCGAGGCGGGCCGGCTCTGCCTCTGCATCGCCGCGGACATGACGTTCACGACGGGCGTGGACCACATCCTCTCCGGCGGCGCGGAGATCGGCTACGCCATGCGCGCCTAGGGGGGGGGGGGGGGCGCGTACTTACTGCTACTCGTGCTTCAATTTACTGCTACTCGCGCTCAAGGCGGCCGCCTACAGCTGCCCACTGCTGGATGAACTCCCGGAACTCGTGCGGGTCGAGCGAACAAAACCCAGGCATGGAACTTGCGAAGTCGCCGAAGGTCTTCCGGAGACCTTCGAAGACTTCCGGAGCCTGCGAAGAGTTGGGCTCTGCGAGACCCTTCTGGAGCCGCTCGACCGCACCATCGTCGGCCTCTGCGACGGTTTCAGCGAATGCCTTTGCTGCGGCCTTTCTTTCGGCCACCGCAGTCTCCACCGCAGCCGTCGCCTCTTCAAGATCTTTTTTTTGGCGACGCAAAGCCACGAGTGAGTCTTTCTGAACGGCGACTGTGTTGCAGGCGGCCTTCAGGAACGGGATCCAGCAAGTCTTGCCTAAGGCGCGCCAAGTGACTGAGAGCGAGCGGTGATTGTTGCGCTGTATGCGCGCAGACGCACTGCTTCCCTGCGGGAAACAGATCATCATAAATTTTGCCATCGGATCTAAACACGTAGCGAGCGCCTTCGGCCATGGGGTTCGCACAATTTCCGCCGGTGCAGCGCGCCTGCTTTCCTCGAAGCCGGCCATTGGCTTTCCGAGATGGCGGCTCCTTGATCGCGACCAGTACACCGATACCACTCGCCAAAACCTCGAGCTGCTTCGTCCCGCGCATGCCGCTCGTTTCCATGAGCCCGTCATCCATGATCTGACCGCGGACGAGCTTGATCTTGCCGCACACGCTACGATGGTGCTGGGACCAGGACTGCCGCTGGCAATCCGTCGAGCAGAAGCGCGCGGAGGTGCACCCCGCGCAGACCATCTTGCAGGGCCGACCACAGTTGATACATTTCCCACCCCACGTTACTTGCCCCAGACTGCAGAGCGCATCGAGTCCGATCTCCCCCATGCTTCTTGACTCGGGCTGCGACTACTGCACGGTGCCGGCTACTTCGACCGACTCGGCGCCCGAGCAAGCGAGTGCGGCACCGCCGCGCGCTCTCCGACCAGCGCGCTCGCTCCGCCCCTGCAAAGGTCTCGGCGCGCCGCGATAAGCACCCCCCCTTTCCATGATGAGCGCGCCCCAGACGCTGCTGGCCCTGCGCTTCGTGGACCTCGACGCCGTCGCGGCGCTCCTCGCGGCCAAGGTCGCCGGCGGGTCCCTCGAGGGCGTGAGCCTCGCGCCCGACGCCGAGCCCACGGGCGACGAGCTCAAGGGCGCCACCTTCGCGACCAAGGACTTCACCTTCGCCATCGACGGCGCGACCTACCCCGCGCGCCTCGCGAACCTCCCCGCCGTCGTGGAGACGCACAAGACCTTCGACCGCGCGACGTACTACAAGTGCGGCGACGTGGGCCAGGTCGTGCTCGTCTTCAAGGACGCCGCGGCGCGGCGGGCCGACCTCGACCGCTGCGCCGAGTTCGCGGGCTCCGCGTGGGCCGGCTACCACCGCGACGGGCTGACGCCTCCGATGCACGACTGCGTCGGCCGCCGCTTCGCGAAAGCCCGGAAGCGCGCGCGGACGTCCTTCTCGCCCGAGGAGATCGCGAGCGTCGAGAAGGAGATGGCCGACATCGGCCGGCGCGAGGGGCGTATAGCGGAGGAGCCGCCGCACGAGGACGTCGTCAAGTTCGAGCCGTGGATGGTCGACGGCCGTGTGGAAATCAAATCTTCAGCCCGACTTCAATGTTCGTGTATGCGACGGTTTCGACGCGAGCTCTTCGGCTGTGCTTCGAGAACTCGACGAGAGCAATCGATTCGTCCAAAAATCAGCCGAATCGACTTCGATTTGACCGAGCTAGAGAGGTTTGAAGTTTTTGCTGGACAGGGCGTTCCACTGGTTGATTTCCACACAGGTCGACGGCCGCGGCGAGGGCCTCACGTTCTCCGAGGACCACCCCCGGGCGTCCCAGCACCCCTGGATCCTCCTCGGCTCCCAGGACCTGGACTTCGCGCCCCGGGCGCCGGCCGGCCCGGCGACGCCGAACGGCCGGCGGACGTCGCGGTCCAGTAGCCCCCGGGGCGCGCACCCGCCGGGCGACGTCGCGTCGGCCCGCGCGCGCGTCGCCGCGGAGCTCAAGGCCGTATCGCAGGCCATGAAGGACCTCGCCGCGGACGACGCGTCGCCGAACACCGCGGTCCAGAAAAGGGCCAGGGCCCAGCTCGCCAAGCTCCGCGAGAAGAAGGGCCGCCTCATGGCCCAGATCACGAAGCTCGACCAGGAGCTCATGGAGGCCGCCCTCGGCGACGGGCCGCCGGCGGCCGCCGGCGCGACGTAACGTTGAACTTCAAGGCCTACTTCATGTTGCCTTGGAAATCGCAGCGATGGTCCCACTTGGCCTCAAAACGCTGCTCGCTGTGGCGCTCGCGTCGGCGCTGCGGCCGCCGCTGCTCCCGGCGCGCCGCGCGGCGGCGCTCCAGTCGCTGCCCCAGGACGACCCCTTCAAGGCGTCCGTGAACATCGGCCTCTCGGAGCGCTTCTCGTTGGCCTACACCTGCTGCAAGTGCGACACGCGCAACCTCGTGTCCGTGAGCCGCGTCGCCTGGACCACGGGCCTCGTCATCGGCAAGTGCCGCGGCTGCGACGCCAAGCACATGCTCGCGGACAACGGCGGCCTCACGGACGAGACCAACTCGTCGCGGTTCTCGAACGTCGTCAACGCCGCGATCGCCAAGGGCGAGGCCGTGGGGCGCCTGGGCCTCGACGACGCGCTGGCCCTCGCCGAGGCGGGCGTCGAGGTGCTGCCCGGCGGGAACGTGTCCCTCGTGCCGCGGGGCGCGGAGGAGGCCGTCTTCGACGAGTCGGGAGCGGTCGTCGCGACGAAGCCCGGCGCGGAGGTCGAGGGCGCCGGCGGCCTCCTCGGCGCGGAGGCGGCGCCGGCGGCGCCGGCCGTCGCGGAGGACGAGGCGGAGGACGTCGCCGCCGAGGCGAAGCCGCCGCTCCAGCTGCCCGCGGCCGCGCCCGTCGTCGCGGTGCCGCCGGGCCCGGCGCCGGGCGACGTGCTCCGCGTCGACACGGGCGGCCAGGGCATCATCCACGTGCGCGTGCCCGACGGCGCCGCGGCCGGGTCCCTGCTGCGCCTCGAGGGCGCCGTCGAGGTCCGCGTGCCCCTCGACGCGGCCGCGGGCGACGTGCTCCCCGTCCAGCTCCCGGACCGGTCCGCGGTCTACGTCGAGCTCCTCCCCGAGGACGCGAACCCGGGCATGGCCCTCAACGTCGCGTTCCCCGTCGTCGTCCTCGACGCCGCGGCGTAAGGCGGACGCTTCGCTTAGCTTGCCCGGCGGCGGCGGGGGGAGGGGGCGGCGGCGCGGCGCCGCCTAGAGGGCGTCCGTGCACTCCTCCGTCTCCGGGTAGCAGAGGACGTCGGGCCAGTTGTCCGGCCCGGCCGCGGGGACGACGCGGAGCACGTTGGACGCGCCGGGCGTGCCCCAGGGCAGGCCCGCGGTGACGACGGCGACGTCGAGGTCGTCGTCGAGGAAGCCGACGTCCTTGGCCGTGCCGACGGCCTTCTTGAGCACGTCGTTGAACTCGACGTCCTCGCCGAAGTAGTCGTCGACGCGGCTGTAGACGCCCCAGGTCAGCGCGAGCGCGCGCGCCGTGTCCTCGGAGGGCGTGAGCGCGAGGATGGGCACGGGCGGCCGGCCCTTGGCCGCGCGGCGCACCGTCGTGCCGAGGCTCGTGAAGACGACCATGCACTTGGCCCCGATCGTCAGCGCCACGGACCGCGCCGCCGCCGTGATGGCGTCCGTCGCCGTCTTCTCCGGCGCGGCCACATCCGCGTCGTTGCGCGCGCGGTACAACTCGTCGGCCTCGACGCGCGAGATGACGCGGCGCTGCATCGTCACGGCCTCCTCCGGGTAGAGGCCCGCGGCGGACTCGGCGCTGAGCATGACGGCGTCGGCGCCGTCGTAGATGGCCGTGGCGATGTCGGAGCACTCCGCGCGCGTCGGCGTCGGCGCGTCGATCATCGACTCGAGCATCTGCGTCGCGACGACCACCGGCGTGCCGCGATCGCGGCAGCACTTGATGATCTTCTTCTGGATGATGGGCACGTCCTCCGGGTTCATCTCCACGCCCAGGTCGCCGCGGGCGACCATGATGCCGTCGCACAGATCCACGATGGCCTCGAGCGACCCGTCGGCGACGGCCGCGGGCTTCTCGAGCTTGGCCATGATGCTCACGTCGGGCCGCGCCGAGGCCTTGACGAGCTGTCGGAGCTCGGCGACGTCCTTGGGCTGCTGGACGAAGCTGAGGGCGACCCAGTCGATGGACTGCGTGAGCGCGAAGGCGAGGTCCGCGCGGTCCTTGGGCGTCAGCGGCGAGATGGGCAGGACGACGGACCTGCGCGGACGTCAAACGGTGAGCTGGGTAATTCCAGCCAAACTTCTCGAGCTCGGTCGTATCGAAGTCGATTCGGCTGATGTTTGGACGAGCCCTCATTGAATTCTCGAAGCACGACGGAAGAGCTCGCGTCGAACCCGCCGCACATTGAAGTCGGGTCGAAGATTCGAGTTTCCGCGCGGCCGCGGACGGCGTGTTCACGCCCTTGCGGTCGCTGATGGCGCCGCCGACGTCGACGACGCACTCGACGAACTCGTCGCCGCTCTTCTCCACGGTCATGCGGAGCTTGCCGTCGTCGATGAGGAGCGTGTCGCCCTTGGCCAAGGTCGCGATGATCTCCGGGTGCGGGAGCTTGACGCGCCCCGCGTCGCCCGGCTCGTCGTCGAGGTCGAACCGGAACTTCTGGCCCGCGCTGAGGAGCACCTTGTCCTGGCCGAAGACGCCCACGCGCAGCTTCGGGCCCTGGAGGTCGGCGAGGATCGCGATCGGGTGGCCGTATTTCGCCTCGACCTGCCGGATGAGCTTGACGAGCTCGGCCTTCTCCTCGTGGGCGCCGTGGCTGAAGTTGAGGCGGAAGACGTCGACGCCGGCGAGGAAGAGCTTCTCGATCATGGCCAGCGTACTCGACGCCGGGCCGAGCGTCGCGAGCTGCTTCGTCGCCTTCTTCCACCGCTCCGGGGCGCCGGGGAGCGCGACGGGCGCCGTGGTTGTTGGCGCGGTCTCGATGACGCGCACGGCGCTCGGCGGCCGGAGGTGCGGGCGCGGGGCCAGCAGGGCCGAGGCGCAGGCTGCAACCGCGAGGATGCGCATGCTGCTTGGCGAATTTGCGACTGCAATCCTGTGGTCCAGCGGAAAACGCAGGCGGAAGTGGCACGCAACGCCGACATGTCGACGGGTACGATGCAGATCCTCGTGCCGCTCGAAGCACTGCTCGAAGCACGGGGCTGCCCTCCCCCTCGGGGCATCGTTCCCCGGCGTCGCGTCGCGGGGGCGCCATGGGGGCCGGGGCGCTGTCGAGCCCCGTGCTCCGGCAGCTCCAGGCCATGAGGAGGAGGAGGCCGTGACCATCTTCGTCCGCCGTGGCTGTGACGAAGCGCGTGCGGAGCCTCGACGCCGACGCCCTGGCGCCGGCGACACCATGGACATGCTCGTCGAGGGCCTGGCGCCGGAGACGCAGGACGCGCTGGTCGCCATCACCGCGCGCCAGCCGGGCGGCTGGCCGCCGGCGCCGCGGCGCCGGCCGCCCCGGCCGTCGCCGGAGCGGCGCCGCGAGCGACCGCCCCGCGACGCGCCGCCGCGCGACGCGGCGCCCCGCGACGCGCCGCCCGGCGACGCGGCGCCCCGCGAGCGCGCGGCGCGCGACGCCGGCGCGGCCCGCGAGCGGCCGCCGCCCCGCCGCGCGGAGAGCCCGACGGCCGCGCCGCGGCGCCGCGCGGACCGGCCGCGCGCCAAGTCCGACGCGGCGCCGCGCGCCGGCCCCATCAAGCGCGCCATCCCCTACCCGGAGCGCGTCGCGCCGCCGCCGCGGCCCATCGAGGCGTCGCTCTGCAACTACGACACGTCCGACCTCATGTTCCCGCCCGAGCTGCTCGCGGAGTTCCAGCCCGCGCGCGCGTCGCAGCAGTCCGTGCGCTCCTACGAGGCCGCGCGCGCGTCCGAGGACGCGGCGTCGGGCCGCAATTTGCGGTCGCGGAGCGAGCCCGCGCCCGTCCGGGCCGAGCGGCCGCCGGGCATCCGCCCCGGCAAGTGGAAGCTCGGCAAGCTCATCGGCTCCGGGAGCTACGGCACCGTGTTCCAGGGCCTGCGCCTGGACACGGGCGCGCTCATCGCCATCAAGACGCTCATCCTGCCGGCGACGCACGACGAGCGCGACGCGCTCCGGGAGATCGAGCAGCTCCACGGCGAGATCGAGGTCATGTCGGGCCCCGGGCGGGAAACGAACGACGTCGCTCCGCTCTCTAGATCGTACGGTGTCGACGCGAGAGGTTCGCTCTCTGGAGAAAGAGAGAAAACGATCCGTCCGAACGTCGGTCGAAGCGACTTCGACGTGGCCGAGCTCGAGCGGTTTCGCTCGACGGCGCGTTCCACGGGTCGTCTCCGGCGCAGGTCGAGCCTCCGCCACGAGAACATCGTCGAGTACCTCGGCGCGGAGATCGAGGAGGCGGACCGGAAGCTCCACATCTTCCAGGAGTGGGTGCCCGGCGGGTCGCTGTCCGCCGTCGTGCGCACCTTCGGCGGGCGCCTCGACGACGACGTGAACCGGCGCTACCTCGAGCACTGCCTCCGGGGCCTCGTCTACCTCCACGAGCACCGCGTCGTCCACCGCGACGTCAAGGGCGAGAACGTGCTCATCTCGGACACGGGCGTCGCCAAGCTCGCGGACATGGGCGCGTCGAAGCGCATCCACGCCGAGGGCACGCTGTTAGACACGGAGAGCTCGCTCAAGGGCACGCCGTACTTCATGGCGCCCGAGCAGATGCGGCAGAAGCGCGTCGGCCGGCGCGCGGACGTCTGGGCCATGGGCGGGCTCGCGCTCCTCATGGCGACGGGCGACCCGCCCTGGAAGGCCCTCAAGCTCTCCTCGCCCTACGCGCTCCTCTGTGTGGAAATCAACCGCTGGTGTGGGGGGTCGCCACCAAACTTCAGAACGCTCTATCTCGGTCACATCGAAGTCGATCCGGCTGATTTTTGGACGAATCGATGGCTCTCGTCGAGTTCTCGAAGCACGGCAGAAAGCCTCGCGTCGAAACGGTCGCATACGCGCACATTGAAGTCGGATTGAAGATTTGAGTTCCACGCAGGCGCTCATGATGGCCGTGCTCGAGTCCGACGACGGGCCGCCGCTCGAGCCCTACGCCGCGCTCCTCGCGCCGGACCTGCGCCACTTCGTCGAGACGTGCTTCACGCGCGACGTCGACGCGCGGCCCACGGCGCGGGCCATGCTCCGCCACGCGTTCCTGCGGCCGGGCGACAGCGACGACGAGCTCGGCAGGAGCGCCGCGTCCGCGGTCGGGCCCGAGCCGCCGCCGCGCGCGCCCTCGAGCCTGGGGCTCAACGAGCTCAAGTCGACGCTCCTCGCGCGCGCGAAGTCCTAACGCACGGGGCGGCGCTACGCCGCGGGCCTCCCCTCCGGCGGGCGGGGTACGCCGCCCGGCGCGCGGCTACGCCGAACTTACGCTTCTCATCGCGCGAGGCGCGCGCGCCGCGCGGGGCCGCGCTTTCCCGCGGCCGCCGGCGCCGCGGCCGGCGTCGTCGTCGAGACCAACGTGACGGACACGACGTCCGCGCCGCCGCCGTCGTCGTCGTCGTCGAGGCCCGCCCGCCGCGGCGGCGCCCGGAGATCGACGACCTCGTAGGGCGCCGGCGCGCCGTCGTCCTCCGGCGCGGGCGACGCGAGAAGGCCGCAGGTCAAGCAGCTCCAGGAGGAAGACATATCGTGTGGGTTATTTGTGCGTCGACAAGTGCGTGCGACCCGTTTTGCGCGGCGGCGACCCGTTTTGCCGGCCTCCCTCTTATCGTGTTTACACGATTTTCACCGCAGCGCACCTTGCTCGCCGAAATAGCTGAGCCTGCTGAGCATGTCCTGAGCATTCAGTCAGAATAAACCGGAATACCCCGAGCATCAGGCGGTGTCTGTGGACCGAGCATCAGGCGGTGTCTGTGGAATAAACAACGAGTTTCAGACGATGCTCCCGTTCGCCGCGGTCGTTTCCGTCGAGCCCAACGCCGCCCTGGTCGTGGCCGAGCCCGTGGCGGCGACACAATGGCAGTATCGCAGCGACGACGGGTGGGTCGACTTCGACTCTGACTCCTGTGCGACGCTCTTAACGGTCGTCGGCGAGACGCAACTCGTCATCGGCGAGAGAATTTATTCCGTCGACGCGGAGCGCACGTTCCAGACGAATCCCGTGACGGGCTACCGCCGCGCGATCCGGCGCGCGCCGTCGGCGCCGGCCTCGGCGCGCGCGCCGGTCCGCACGCGGCAGCCGGACCTGCGGGCTTACGACGCCATCCTCGCGGGCGCGTCGCGGCTCACCTTCCGCCTGGTCAAGGACCGGAAGCTGGCGTTTACGACGTTTCGCGTCGACGCCGACGGCACGAAGGACGCGTTCTCCATCCTCGTCAACCACAGGCGGGGCGCGGAGCATTTGGGCAAGCCCTACCGTGAGCTCGAGTTCTACGCCGACATCGCGCTCGGCGACGGGTCCGACGGCCGCGTCGTCCAGACCGTTTGCAGGGAGAAAAAAGAGTGGTGTGTTCCGATGGAAAGCATGGACCGCGGCGAAATCCAATCATTTATAAATCGAAAGAAAATGTGTTGGAACTGCTTAAGTATCGTCATTTCAAGATTTCATCCAAAAAATCGGATGAATTCCTAAAGAGTAATGTCAATACTAGTACAATTCTTCTACATGCCGCTCCGCGTCTGGCCGCCGTTCGTCGTGCCCGTGTTCATGATCGGCGCGATCGTCGGCCGGAGCCGCCTCGAGGACGCCCTGGCCGGGGGCGACCCGTCGCCCGCGCTCTGGGGCCGCCGCGCGGACGCGCTGAGCGTCGCGCTCGCGCTCTTCGTCGGCGTCTCCGACGCCGTTCTTCTCGCACTACGCCGGAGCCTTCGGCCTCCGCGTGGTCCTCGAGGCCTTCATCATCCTGCCCCTGGCCTACTGGATCGAGGCGCTCACCTACGCGGGGTCCGCGAGCTGGGTCGGCTTCTTCCTGAGCGCGCGCCGGCGTCCCGCGGCGTTTTTCCGAGAGATCGCGACCGCGCGTAGGCACGCGGCCGCTCCAGAAGCTCGGCGACTGGAGCTACGCCGTCTACTGCTTCCACATGATCGTCATCGAGCACGCTCCGACGGACCTGCGCTGGTACGCGTGCGTCGCCGCCTTCGTCGGCGCGTCCGCCGTGATCGCGGAGGCCGTCGAGAGGCCGCTCGTCCGCTGGCTCACGGCGCGCGCGCTCCTCGCGCTCCCGCCGGACGGGTCGCGGCGCGCGAAACCGCCGTGCTGCTGCCACGGCGACTGCCCGACCTGCCGGCTCTGCGGCGGGTGCGTCCGCGACGAGTCCGCGGTCGCGCTGTCGTGCCCCTGCTACGTGCCCGCGGACGAGTGCGTCGTCTGGAACCTCTTCGCGTTCTGGAACTGCACGTGCGGCTCCGAGCTCGCGGAGTGCCGCGTCCACCGGCACGCGGCCTGGGCGCCCCTCGCGGACGCCGCCGAGGATGTCGTCGTCGCGGAGCCGGCGGCCGAGGCCGCGCGCCGGGAGCCCGCCTAGCGCGCGTGGCCCCCATCCCCAAGAAGCAGTCCCGCGCGGTCGTAAAGAACGCCCCCCCCTTTCTAGCGAGAACAAGCTTACGAGGCCCCTACATGACCGCGCAGCGGCGGCCCTCCGCGGCCGGCGCGGCCGCGGGCGCGTCGCCGGCGGCCGCCGCGGCCGGCGCCGCGGCCGGCGCGTCCTCCGCGTCCGAGTCCGAGTCCGAGTTCGAGTCCGACTCGTCGTCCTCCGCCGGCTTGGGCTTGGGCGCCGAGTTGAAGAGGTTCTTCGACATCTTCGCGGACATCTTCGCCTTGCGCTCGCGGTACTTCCGCTTGTGCTCGCGGAGCGTCTCGTAGAGGTCCCGGAACTGCTTGTGGTTCGGCCAGGTCTCCATGGCGATCTTGAGCGCCGCGTCGGCCTCGGGCCACTTGGACAGGTGCATGGCGACCTGCGTCGCGCGGTAGAGGCTCTTCTTGTCGTCGGGCGCGACGGTGAGCACGTCGCAGACGGCCTTCTCGGCCTTGAGCCACTCGTCCATCTTCATCAACGCGTAGACGAGGTTGTTGCCGCAGTGGATGTAGATCTCCTCGGCCTCGATCCGGTCCGGGTCCCCCTCCTCGTAGTTCCAGACGTTCAGCCCCTTCAAGACCTCCTGGTAGTTCGCGCCCGCCTTCTTCCAGTTCTCGTGGTGGAAGTGCTCGTTGCCCAGCACCTTCTTGTTGCGCGCGTCGTAGAGCATCTCGCCGGGCGTCATCGTGTCGTCGCACTCCTTGTACCAGAGGCGGTGCGTCTCGATCGTCCACGTCACGGCCGAGTTCGGGGGAACGCTCTTCGTCTTCTCGTCGTCGGAGGCCGGGCGCCCGACGTCGCCGTAGGCGAAGCGCCACTCGGCCTTGCAGACGCACTTCGTGCCGTCCTGCTGCTGGCGGAGCGCCAGCTCCAGCCCGGGCGGCACGTCCGCGTCGCCGACCCTGAGCATCTTCCGCTTGCACGTCTCGAAGACCTCGCCCGTCTCCGTCAGCGCGCCGGTCCAGGTGCAGATCACGGCCTGCTTGTACTCCGCCTGGGGGCCCGTGCCCTTCCTCACCTCCTTGTAGCGCACGCCGGGCATGAGCACGCGGTAGCCCTCGGCGTCGAGCTCGTCGTCGCCAAAGGCCGCGGCGTCGGCGTCCTCGTCGCGCTTGCGGTGCCAGTCCGCGGCGTCGATGCCCTCGAAGTTCTTCGCCGTCACGTCCTCGACGATGGGCTCGTCGTTGTCGTAGGAGCTCATCGCGACGGCCTCGGACATTTTGCCACGAATCGAGGTCTTTCGCAGCATCTCCACAGCATCATCTACCGCATATCCTGAGGCTGCCCCGACGGTGAAGCTGCATTATTCCACCCTCCACGACACCCTGCGCGGTTCCGCCTCGCTCCGCGGCGCCATGGCGCGCCGGCGCTGGCTCGCGCCGCTCCTGGTCCTCTGCGGCGTCGTCGGCGCCGACGACGCGTCGGCGGAGATCGGCTTCGACTTCGTCATGGCGACCGTCGTCGGCGCGACGCTCGTCCAGGCGCTCGACTTCGTGAGCTCGCAGAGCACGCAGCTCGCCTACGCGTCGCGCAACGGCCTCCTCTTCAACGGGACCGTCGCCGAGACGACGACGATGAAGACGCTCATGGCCACCGCGCAGAACCTCGGCGCGCTCCCGCGCGGGACGCGGGCGCGGCCGTTCTCTCCGCTGATTTCCGGACGAGCGATCGTCCCTCGGAGCGCGCTCGACGCGCGGGTCCTTTGTTTCGGAACGCGCGCGCGCGGAACGCGCGCGTCGAAGCGACGTCGAATCGCCCGCGTCCCCCCCAGGCGAGCGCAACGTGCTCGCGATCTACGCGGGCTTCGACGCGGACCACGCGTACTACGCGTACGCCTACCTGCGCGAGGACTTTTACAAGTCGAGCGGCGCGCGCGCCGCGTCCGCGGGGAACCTCACCGTGACCCTGGGCAAGAACGTCAAGGGCAAGGGGAAGCTCGACGCGGAAAAGTACGTGTCGCGCGGCCGCTGCGACGACTTCGACTACGACCTCTGCGCCGTCGCCTTCACGAGCGACGCCCTCGGCGAGCCCGTCGACGCGTTGAAGACGACGAAGTTCGACTGCACGACGACGCACTGGTTCCGGAGCTCCGTCAAGTACAAGACGCCGCGGTGGACGACGCCCTACGCGATGCCCGCGGACGTGGCCGCGGGCGTGGGCTACACCATCGCCGCGCCCCTCTTCGACGCCGAGGGCAAGCTGCGGGGCGCCGCGGGCGCGGACGTGGGCCTCAGCCGCGTGTCCGAGATCATCGCGGCGACGGCGCGGACGTGGTGGCGGGAAGACCTCGGCGCCTACGACCCCAAGGGGCTCTTCTTCTACGTCGTCGACGCCGACCTGCGCGTCGTCGCGTCGTCCGTCGGGCCCCGCGTCGCGCCGGCCGACGACCTCTTCCACTACGCGCCGAATAGTTCGAACGCGCTCGTCGCCAACGGCTCCGCGGCCTACGTCGCCGGCGTCGTCGCCGGCGATCTGCGGGTCGTCAACGGCACGTTCACCTACGTGAGCGCGCTCGACTTCGCCATCGGGGGCCTCGAGTGGTACCTCGTGACGGCGTACGACGCGGACTGCCCCGCGGGCTACGAGGTCCGGGGCCTCGGCTGCGACCCCTGCGAGGACGCCCGGGACTCGCTCGCCGGGTCGCCGGTCTGCGACCGCTGCCTGCCCGGGTTCTACCTCAGAGGGTCGTCCTGCGCGTCGTGCCCGGACAACGGCGTCTGCTTGGGCGGCCTCGACGCGCCCTACCCGCGCGAGGGCTACTGGGGCGACGCGGCGAGCCCCCACGAGTTCTACGAGTGCGAGCCGGGCCACTGCCGGAAGAAGTTCCGCTGCCGGCCGGGCTACACGGGGCGCCTCTGCTCGCGGCTCGAGTCCGTGGCCGCGACGCGCGGCGCCGCGGACCGCTACTTCACGATCTCGTCGTCGCTGCCCTTCAAGTGCCCGCAGACGACGCGGAACCGCTGGCTCCTCACGGGGTCGTCCATCCTCGCCGTCGTGCTGGGCTGGCTCTACGTGAACAACAGGGCAGCAAAAGAGAGCGACATTCCCGACTTCAAAGGCGCCTCTCTCGGCCGGTTTCCACTCGTTTCGGCTGATTTTTGGTCGAGCGATCATCTCTCTCGGAACGGCCTCGGAGCGTAGATGCCTTCTCCGGAACGCGCGCGCGCGGAACACTCACGTTGAAGCGAACTTGAATCACCCTTTTGCTGCCCAGGTGAACAACGTGCTCCTCAACGTCTACGCGCCGCTCGGCATGCTCGTCTACAGCGTCCAGCACATGGCCATCATCGCGCGGTACCAGATCGACTTCCCCGTGGAGTTCATCCAGAAGTACTCCCTCTTCCTCGACTTCATGCTCTTCGACGTCGACGTCTTCAAGCCGTCGTGCGTGATCACGTGGACGCCGTGGCGGTCCCACGTGACCCAGATGCTCGTCTGCGCGCTGGGCCTGCTGCGCTTCGTGCCCGTGACGACGCGCGTCGCCCACAAGTTCGCCACGGACCGGGCCTACCGGAGCTTTGGGGCCGTCTTCGCGTCGGTCCGGTACGAGGGCGAGTTCGGCCCGCAGATCGCGCGGGGCGTCACGGAGTTCCTGAGCCTGCTGGACGTGCAGCACACGACCATCGCCTTCAACTCGCTCCACGCGATCCGCTGCGACGAGATCAACGGCGCCTGGTACATGCGCGAGGACCCGCAGGTGAGGTGCGACGGCGACAACCCGCAGCGCGTGCTCTACCTCGCCTTCTCCCTCCTCTACTTTTTCGGCGTGGTGCTGGGCCTGCCGACCTACATCTACTACCGTGTCCAAATGGCCTACCTCCACGACAACGGCGTCCACTCGCCGGAGATGCTCGACACGCTCGGCTGGGCCTACGAGCGCTTCCGCGCGCCGCTCCACGACTGGCAGTTCAGGCTCACGATGCGCACGGTGCTCATCTGCGCCATCGCGACGTGCGTCGACAACGGCAGCGTCCAGGTCGTGCTGACGCTGTGCCTGTTGAGCCTCGCTAGGAGCCGGAGCCTGCGTGGAAATCAACCGCTGGTTCGGGGGGTCCCCACCAAACTTCAGAACTCTCTAGCTCGGTCACATCGAAGTCGATTCGGCTGATGTTTGGACGAATCGATTGCTCTCATCGAGTTCTCGAAGCACAGTAGAAAGCTTTGCGTCGAAACGGTCGCATACGCGCACATTGAAGTCGGGTTGAAGATTTGATTTCCGCACAGGCCGGAGCCTCCACGCGCGGCCCTACGTGAAGAAGCGGCACGACCGCTTCGACGTCTTCACCATCGACATGGTCTTCGCGTTCGTCGTGACGACGCTCTTCATCTACGCCCACTCCCTGGGCGGCACGGTCTGGGTCGTCGGGGTCGTTTTTTGCCAGCTGGTCTTCTTCGCGATCGCGGTGTTTTTGTCCGTCGTCGCGTGGGGCGAGGACACGCTCCGGGAGCGGGCCATCGACACGGTGCTCGACCACGTCGCGTTGTCCAAGTCCGACGAGTCGACGGCCCACGCGCTCTTCTCGTCCATGAGGGAAGCTTTGAAGCTGTCCTTCCTCAAGTCCAAGCTGCTCCAGCTCTCCGCCGGCGGCCGGAGGCGCGGCCACTCGGCGGCGCGCGCGTCGGGCGCGAGGTTCAACCTCGAGCGGCAGACGTCCGTCGCGCGCGGCGGCCGGCGCCGGTCCGTCGGCGCCGTGAAGCACCGCGCGAACGTCGACGACACGGGCGCGGGCGCGCACTTCTGCCTCGAGGCCGTCCACGAGCACTACCTCGAGCTGTCGCTGCGCATGCAGGAGATGGGCCAGACCTTCAAGCAGCTCCCCTTCCACGTCTGGGCGACGGACGCGCGGCGCGACGCGGGCGACTACGAGCGCTTCGCGGCCGTCGCCGCGGACCTCAAGCCCTACGTCGCCAACGACTCGCCGACGTCCAGCTACTCGGCGGACTCGCGCGCGGTCTTCTGGCGCAAGCTCGCCCAGGAGTTCCCGGGCATGATCGACTTCTGCATGACGGAGCTGTCGCAGGTCGAGCGGACCGTCTACTTCGGCGCGCTGCTGCGCATGGAGCGCTACATGCAGCGGCCCGTGCGGGCCCAGGCGCTCCACTACCTCGTCGAGGACCAGGACCGCTCGAGCGTGCTCTACTACATCCTGGCCGCCGAGGAGCACCGCGTCGTCGACCTCCGGTTCTGCATGCAGTCGATCCTCCGGAGTTGTCGTTATAGCAAGCGGCGCGTCGTCGCGGGCAAGCACGCGATGCTCGTGCCGCGGCCCGTGGCCCACGCGGCGCTGGGCATCTCCGTCGCGCGGAGCTCCTTCCGGAAGCAGTCGTCGTCCGCGGCGCTCCGGCAGCGCGCGGCCGAGGAGGGCGAGGAGAACGTCTACGCGCACTGCGTCGACTCGGAGAGCGCGGCGCTCCGCGTCGCCTTCGACGTGCTCGGCCACGCCAAGGGCGACGGCGGCGGCGAGGCGCCGCCCGCGCCCGGGGCCGTCGTCGCCGCGGCGTCACCCGACGACGCCGTCGCGGACCTCGGGGACACGGACCCCGTCGTCGCGCTCCTCAAGTACGGCGACGGCCTCCTCGCGCGCGCGGCCGCGCGGGAGCAGCGGCGGGACCTCGAGAACACGGCGTCGCCCGGGGAGCGCCAGCGCGCGTCGGACCGCGTCGCGGAGCTCCGGGGGGTCCTGCGCGACCTCGAGAAGCAGGCCGGCGGCGCGTCCGCGTCGCTCTTCGGCGGCGGCGGCGAAGGCGACGACGCGCCGGCGGCGGGCGGCTTCTTCGGCAACCCCTTCGCGGACCTCCTCTTCTGCCAGGCGGGGCTCGACTACGGCCGCGACGACGCGGCGGCCCGGGAGCAGTCCTGCTTCGGCCCGGGCGACGTCGCGCCGCCGCCGCCGGCGCCGAGGCCGCCGGAGCCGGGCTCGCCGAAGCGCAAGGAGAGCAAGAAGCACCACAAGAAGAAGCACCAGAAGTAGGGGGTATCACTTAATGAGGAGCTCCCGGCCCGGCGCGTAGGCGCCCTTGTGCGCGTCGAAGAGGGCCCGGAGCGCGGCGACGTACCTGGCGTGCATCGCGTCGACGCGCGCGTCCGTGACGGGCCCGGCGACGCCGTCGTGGGGGATGGGCGCGCCGGTGACAATGTGGACGGCCTCGGAGATGGGCTGGAGGCCGAAACCGACGTTCGTGAAGGGGAGATTCCCGCAGAAAACGGGCAGGCTGTAGCCGTACCAGCCGAGGCCCCAGTTCTGGAACGTCAGCAGCCAGCGGCGCGCGCGGGAGCCGCGGGCCGGCGCGCGGAAGACGTCGAGCTCCCCGAAGGCGAAGGTCGGCACGAGGGACGCCTCCGCGAGCAGCGCCTCGCGGACGAAGCCCTTGCGCTTGCCGAGGTAGAGCTCGTAGGGCGCGCCCGGCGTCGAGAGGAGCGCCTCCTTGGCGCCGCCGACGGCGATGCACACGGCGCCGCCGTTCCGCGCGAGCGCGCGCCGGATGCAGGCCTTGGACGCCGGGATGATGCCGAGGCGGAGGATGAGCTCGCGGATGAACGGCATCTTGAAGTTCACGGCCAGCGTGCAGAGGTGGAAGTCCAGGCCCGGGAAGGCGTCGTCGAGGCCGACGCCGTTCGTGCCGACGCCGACGAAGGCGCCGAGGCTCACGACGCCGTGCGGGTGGTAGCCGAGCACGTACTTGCCGCCCGGTGGCAGCGCCGCCGTCGCGTGGAGGCTCGCGGGAAAATAGGCCGCCAGGAGGCGCCAGACGCGCCAGCCGCGGACGCTCCGCGACGACCGCTCGCCGCTCAGGCGCGCCGTGTCGAAGAACCACATCCAGACGCCGTAGGCCAGGACGAGGGCACGCAGGGCGAGGCAGCGGCTCGACGCCAGCCAGAGGAAGAGGGTCCAAAAGACGACCGGCCCTCCCGGGAGGATGAAGAGGGCGAAGCCCGTCGACGCCGCCTGCTGGAAGAAGGCCTCCAGCGGTCCCCGCCGCTGCGACGGCGACGGGGGCGGCCCGCTGGGCATGGGCTGCATTTTGAGTTCTTGTCTTCTTCTTACGTTCGAATTACGCGATGAACGGCATCTTCCCTCA